CTGCTGTCCCATCTAGCTTGCCATACTGTGATAGATTGCTCACGCGCTTCGCGCTTACTGCATTCTCTATCACGCARTCTTTTCCTCTCTTTAATTCTAAGGTCTATTGGAATGACCTCTGCTATTACTTGAGCAGCTTCCACCGAAGTGGTACGGTACGSAGAGCATACCCGCAGTGCTGCTTTTCTCTGTACCCCRTCAAGTCTCTGCTTGTATTTCTTCATTTCCAGTGCTTTATCTCCCCAGATCGGGGCAGCWTAGAGCAAAATGGAATTTGCTACTTCCACCAGCACTCTCCTTTTTGGAGYCGATGGACCTCTAACGTTTGGCATTAAGCGGCTCAAAGTAGCCGTTAATGCTTCAGCTTTCATAGCCACTCTTGTCACATGATGAGTGAATGACATTCTTTGGTCTATGTCAACACCTAAGTATTTGACTTTTTTCTGCGGTCTCAGAGTGACCCCCTCTACTTTAAAGGACAGGTCTTTCTGTGGACGTCTCCCGCCAGCTAGCATGATAACCTCTGAGCCATCACTAGTCCTTTCGTTTTCATCCATTGTCCGATAAGGTCGGACTCATACTCTACAAGTCGTACCAAATCTTGGGTACGTTTTTCCTTCACAAGCAGTGCAAGATCATCTGCATAAGCAATCAATTTCGCTTCTTTTGGCAATTCTAGCCGAAGAACATCATCGTACAATATGTTCCACAAAGTCGGGCCCAACACCGAACCCTGTGGCACACCACTCGTTACTTGTATTACCTGTCCATCCTAGGTCAATACTCCTATCAGAAAGATAGCTTCCTATCACTCTTCTCGGGTACTCGGAAATTCCTCTCTGTCTGAGAGCTTCCATTATGTGTCTCCAACATGCATAATTAAATGCATGCAAACGTCAAAAGTAAGAAGGGCGCACCACTTCTTAGCCTTTGTACTTCCTGAATTGGCCTCTGGCAAATTCCATCACTTTATCTATCGCATCAAGTGTTGATGTGCAATGGCAAAGGGAACGATCATTCTCTCTGACTGATGTAACGTTTCTAAAAAACATGGAAGACGACGGTCCAATAGGAGGGTGACAGGCATATCAAAACCCCAACAACTAATAGGATAAGACAATGGCTGAAGGGAGACGCACAATGTAAACGAAAGAGATGTGAAACTGATACAAATAGTGATGAAGAAGCAGAACGGAAAGCAGCAGCTAAATCTTAATTTAGCTTAACGTGACATCGGAAACATGAAAAGTATTATCAAGAAACTACAAAACGTAGTGGACGAAAGTTACAACATGAAAACAGAAATAAAAATTGGAATCAAGAGCTTAACTAATATTGTCACGCAGCAGTATTTTGCAATGCAATTGCAGGGTTACTGACTTTGCAGTTTCGGCAATTGTGTTCAAAGTACGAACAAAGCTGGAACACACACAGAGGGGACGAGTTAATTAATAGACCCCCAAGTGAGGGCAAAAGTAAGTGGCGTTGGGACAGCGTCCGAGTAGCGTCGTGATAGCGTATTTGCGGGTAGTTCTTCTCTGTGTGCGGTGCAGTACCGCTGGCGAAGTGTACGTGTGGTCGTGCCCACTTTTGGAGAATTATTAGAGATGTGCATGGCACTACAACTCATGTTGTAAGTACCCAATTTTATTTCCTATTATTTGTAAATATACATTTGTTATAAACCACCGACTTTTATTGCCTCACCCTCTAAGCAAACCCCCAATCACGCAAGACGTGACATGTGGTGGAGGCGCCGTTGTTAAATTAACTCCGGGGTTGCGAGTGGTTTGTAGCATTTGTAAAACAAAAAAAATTGGTATTCGGGGAGTTACTGGGCGGAGAACGACGTGGCATTACTTAGGGCGTTGTAAATAAATGTCGAATAGACCCAACACACGGGCGCGATTAAGGGAACTCGCGAAACAAAAAAATCTCCGTATCACAATCAGTAGGGACAATTTTCCACAACCTCACAATAGTACCGAAATTGAAAATAACGATCAGGGCGGTGTTTTTGAACCTTCAACGTCGCGAATCGATCCGCTATTAGGTATCACCCTTCCAACAGGAAAAGAAGAAAAAAAGGAAAGTCCTACGGAAGAACGAGAAGTCGAAACTAATAGGGAAGACGATACTATTATCGAGATAATTCCGAGAAGTTCGGAATCTAGCAGACAAAGTTCTCCTGAAATAGCAAGAAGGATGGATACAACAATTTTGGAAGCAACAACAACGGGAAGAACCGTTGCTGTTCCAAAATTTTTGTCGCCCCCGGTTTTCAACCCATGCGGCAGTAACCCCACGCAATATTTGAGAACGAATGAGCGAACCGCGGCTGCGAATGGATGGAGTAATGCCTTGAAAATTGACTATTTTGGAAGTTTTATGGAAGGTGCTGCGACCATTTGGGTAACACAATATACGGAAAAACGGGAAAATAATGAAAAAACTTGGAACGACCTAAAAACCGATTTCCTCAAAAAATTCGACGGAGAAGACCACGAACGCGCCTTAAAGTTGAAATTCGACTCTAGACGTCAAGGATCCGGCGAAGACATTAAGCATTATTACTTCGATCTCGTTGCGTTAGCGAACGAAGTTAATCCGGAAATGCCATTCGAAATGTTTCGCGACAAATTTGAGGCCGGGATGCATTCAAGTTTTCGCCATACTTATTATGTTCTCGGGTGTAGCATAAAAAATCTAGGCGAATTAAAGGACGTGGTCTTCAAAGTAAGTAATATCTGCACCAAGAGTCACGTTGGAGATGCAGAGGAAGGCGTTTCGTTTTTTGCGTTAAAACGAGAAGAAAGAGACGAGGTGAATAGACGCGATGAGGATTTTAGAAATAAACCAAAATACGGAAACGCGTACAAAAACGAAAATCAGGAGAAATCGGGTGAAGCATCGAGTGCCCGATACAATAACTACAAGCCGCAGAATCATCAGACGTGGGAAAATACGAGAACAAGAGATAACAGACCAAGATGCTACAACTGTAACAAAGTTGGGCATTATGCCAGAGCTTGCTGGACAAATCCGCGTAACACCCACAAGGAGAAAAGAGACGATAAACGAGGGGATTCCAAGAAGAGCTCCCCAAACTAGAAAGGGCGACCGAACCGGAAATAGACTCCCGAGTCGCCCTCCACAAAGAAAATCAGGGAGGAAGTTGTTCAGCAAATATTTTAACAGTTAAGGGCGTAGTAAACGACATAATGTAGATGTAGTGTTGGACACAGGATCAGCAAATAATTTAATTCATAGAGACATAATTGGGAATCATCGGATAAATAATCTGAACTAGGTAGTCATTTTAACGGCAGGAGGACACTCAACTCCCACGTTAGGAAGCGTACGGGTCAAAGTAGAAATAGGTCATTTCATAACAACGGTTAACGCAATAGTTGTCGAAAAGCTACCGAAGCAACTAATTCTCGGTACGAAATTTTTGCATGAATGTAGGGCACGAATCAATTTTGTGGATAACAGCATATTGTTGCAAAGCAACGACCAGGTTAAGAAATGTAACTTCAACATTGAGAAACCTAGAGTCAGCAAATCGTTCTTAATGCAAGAAGTCAAAGGTCAATGCCACAAAGCCACATTACTTAACGACTACACTTTGAATTATAACACGGCCATCAGTGTGAAGGTGAAAACGGACATCCCCTTAAACCCAGATGAAGATCTAAACAATTTTATTTTTACGAGCAACGAAAGGAGTCTTACACCGAAACAGATTGTTTGCACCACAGGAAGGCACATCAAAGGACAACCAAACAATCTCAGAATTGACTTAGTTTCAAAAACAAGACGACCAATCAGACTATTCAAGGGCATGACAATGGGAATGTTGGAAATGGTGACGCCAGTTACGGTGCATACTAGTATCGTACTATTTGCTGACGAAGTTGAAGTTGATACGTCAACAACAAACCATGACCTAGGACATATTCACGACATAGAGCAAAGAAAAGAAGCGGAACAGCTGTTAAAAAAGTATGATGTGTTTTTGCCAAGTCGATGCATGAAATAGGAAGAACTGATGTGTTGGAACATGAGATGATCATCGAAGCGGATCAACCAATAAAATCTAAGCCTTACAAAGTTTCCCAAAAAGAACGGACTGCGATAGACGAACAAATTAAAGAAATGTTGGACTCTGACATCATCCGCCCAAGTCATTCACCATGGGCAAGTCCAGTCGTGTTGGTAAGGAAAAAAGACGGTTCTATGAGATTCTGCGTAGACTACAGAAAAATCAACAATGTTACCAAGAAGTCCAGCTACCCTTTACCAAACATAGATGACATTTTAACATATCTCGTCGATGCTCAATATTTCTCAACCTTGGACATGTTTAGTGGCTACTGGCAAGTGAATATTAGAAAATGCGATAAAGAGTACACAGCATTTACGACACCAGGACAAGGGCTATATGAATTTAATGTATTACCGTTTGGACTTTGCAATGCTCCGGCCACTTTCCAAAATTTAGCTGACGTCGTTTTTCAAGGAATGAAGTAGGTAGATGTCTTAATTTATCTCGATGATATTATAGTGTTCTCTCATTCGTACGAAAAGCACTTGATAAAACTCGAAAAGGTTTTCAAACGAATCAAGAAAGCGAACCTTAAGCTTAAACCGACAAAGTGTTCGTTTTTTAAGAGAGAAGTGAAAATGTTGGGACATGTAATCAATAACAAAGGTATTGCCCCGGATCAAGATAAACTTTTGGCAGTACAAAAGTTTCCTCAACCAAAAAATGTTAAGGACATTCAAAGTTTTTTAGGCCTATGTAATTATTACCGCAAATTCATCCAAAATTTTGCACAAATAGCAAGGCCACTGCACACAGCAACAAAGAAGGAACAGTAGTTTATATGGGACGCGCAAAAACAGAGTGCTTTCGAGACACTAAAGGAAAAATTAACAACTGCCCCAGTTTTGCAACACTTTAACCCCAATAAACCATGTGAACTTAGGATCGACGCATGTCACATAGGGTTGGGTGCAATTGTATTGCAAGCAGGAGAGGATAAAGAAATGCACCCTATTGCTTACGTTAGTAGAAGTCTAACAAAGGCAGAGCAAAATTACACCATATCGGAGCTTGAGGGTCTTACTGCGATCTGGTGTCTTAGTCACTTACGTCATCTGCTGTATGGACAACCCACAACGATTGTCACTGATCATCACGCCTTATGTTGGTTGAAAAGCTTAAAGGATCCAAACGGTCGATTGGCACGTTGGGTACTAAAGTTGTCAGAATTTGATCATGAGATTGTTCACAAAAATGGTATCAAACATAAAGACGCAGACTGCCTATCACATCATCCAGTATTTGAAGCAAAGGAGTCTGATACAATCGAAGCAGAGGAAGTTTTAACGTTGCTCGTAGAACCAAAAGACATCTTAAAGTATCAGGAAAGCGACCCTGAACTGCAGGAAGTAATTAAGAATCTTCAGAATAAAACTGATGACGGGGTAACAATTGGTGGAAAGAAGCGAGCAAAAAACTTTCGTATGATCAATGACGTTTTGTATAAAA